CCCTCCCCTTCTGGGTATAACGTGCTAAACAGCAAAGGCTGAGCACAGAAAAGGAAGAATGAGCTGCCAGCGACATGTGGGGATGCCTGTGGGCGGCATGGGCCGGCGACGGGGGGCTCTGGTCATGTTGGGGGACAGAAGAGGAGATACACACACACACACACACACATATACATACATATGTACACATGTATATATATGTACAATATTCTTCAAACAACATTGCTGTTCCAGTATACAACATCCTCTTGGTTTGATCATTTCACTGTTCATTATTTCATGCAAGCCCTTCCATGTTTTCCTAAATTCAACCCGCTCATCGTTTCTTAACGCACAGTAGCATTACACCACAATCATACGCCATAACTTGTTCAGCCGTTCCCCAGTTGATGAGTATCCCTGATATTCCCAGTTCTCTGCCAGCCCCACAAGGAGAGCGGCTATCAATATTTTAGAAATACTATAGATTCTTTTCCTTTTTTCCTGATCACCTTGGGAGACAGACCTAATAGTGCTATTGCTGGGTCAAAGGTTATACACAGTTTTATAACTCTTCGGGTATAATTCCAGATTGCTCTCCAAATGGTTGGATCAGTACACAACTCCACCAACAGGGAATGTGTCCCAATTTTTCCACATCTCCTCCTGAATTTGTCATTTTCCCCTGCTCTCATTTTAGCCAATCTGATAGATGTGAGATGATCTCTCAAAGTTGTTTTAGTTTGCATTTCTCCAATCAATAATGATTTAGAGCATTTTTCATGTGATTACATATAACTTTGATTTCTTCATCAAAAAACTGCTTGTTCATATTCTTTGACCCTTTATCAATTGGGAAATGACTTATATTCTTATAAATTTGGCAAAGTTCTACATATAGTTGAGATGAGACCTATCTCCAAGAAACTGTCTATAAAATTTCCCCCCAATTTTCTGCTTTCCTTCTAAGCTTGACCATTTTGGTTTTATTTCTACAAAACCTTTTTAACTTAATGTACTCAAAATTATCCAATTTACATCAGCCTAAACAGCCTAAAAAATAAGGAGAGCAAAAATAATGAAAGAGAACAACTAATGGAACATTTCTGCCCTTCTCCAGAGTGAATTACCTGGGCTAAAACTGTCTTAAGGAACACTTTTGCAACTGCAATCTCATAAAGTGCACATGTTGAGATTATGTATGCCACAGACACTCATGGAGGGACCATCACACCAAGGGGATGTTGGCTGAGAGCTCCTACCCTAAAGTAACCACAATAACTGCACCTGTGGCTGGAACCAATGTCTCCCCCCCAACACACACACCCCCCCCAAACGTGACAGGCTAATCTATAGTCAAGTTTTGTTTTGCTTTGTTTTTGCTTAGCCATGGAAGCTATTTTAACGCTGGCATTGTGAAATCATCAAGTGCCACAATTACTATGCCAAGCATGTCAAAAGTGTACAAAAATTCCATATCCCTATACTGGTCACCTCAGATGAAAACTGCAAACTGCAAATGTTAACTAGCTTTTCTCCCCTAATATTAAACATAAAACCATGTGGGAAATCTAGAAATCCAAATAAAAGTCACATAGACCTGTCCTAAAACATAAACTCAAACTCTTTGTGAGAAAGTGTGGATGACAAATGGTCTACCACACCCATTTTAGAAGGAGGTTAACTAAGGTCTTTGGATGTCCGATGCCCACACAGTCAGACTGTCTCCCACTGAGTACATCATTAGTGTACTGGCTTCCTGGGACTCATCATTTAATGTGTCCAGTTCCACGATGGCTTCATTCCTGTCTTTGAACTGAGAGCAGGCTTCCTCTGGAGAGTTCAGGATCTCCCAGCAGAACACTGACATTCAGGGGCAGACCCAATTTTACAGGAAGCCTGGGCTGCATCTCCTTTTGGCCGATTTCAGACACTTCTTGATATCTTGTTGGGATTCATTCATTGAATCACTAGCAGCAATCTCAGCCAGATAACAGAAGAGGTCTCCTTTCATTTTCAAATAGAAGACCTTTGCTTTCTGCTTGAGAAGCCTTCCGAATCGAGAGCTTCCCCCAGAGAAAGCAGGACATTCCATGGCAGACATCTCTCAGGTTGGGTTCGATTTTCCCTCTGCAGCCTTGGGCCATTTGCTCAGCACCTTCTGTCTTTTGCTCAGTCCTTGAAACCACCTTCTAAGCTGACCCCAAGGCCCCAGTGATATTGTTTACAGCACCAGAGAGAAGATTCCTTGATTCAGTGGATAATTCAGCCCTACCCTCAGTTACAGATCTCTTGCAGGCTGCCATGTCAACCTAAGTCTCAGCTGGTTCAGCCCCTTTGGTTTCTGCACCAGCTCATTTTTATCCCTGGCTGAGTCTTCTGAGGCCAGAGTGAGGGAGCAGTTGTGACAGTAAACAGACAGGGCTTTGTTGGCTTCTGGGCAGCAGCAATGGCCCCCAGTAGTAAGCTCCTGATAAATGGTTGCTCACTGACTAACTAGGAAGGTGATTTCAATAGTCCAGGTGCAGGGATGAAGACCTGAATGAGGGCGGTGGCTATGTGAGTGAATCGAAGGGATTCGATATGAGAGATGCCAGGAGGTAGAAATGACAGACTTGGCAACTGACTAGATGTGTGGGGTGAGTGAAAGTGATGAATAAAAGATGAAACCAAGGTTGGGAGTCTGAGTGGCTGAAGGACAGCAGTGCCCTCAGCAGAAATAGGGGAGTTTAGAAGAGAGGAAGGTTTGGGGGAAAAGATACGGGGATCTGTTTTGGCCATGTAGATTGAGATGTGTGGGACATCCAACTGGAAATGTCCAGCCGACACCTACTGCCCCCCTCAATCCTGGTGGACCAGTTGCTTTGCATGGTGCTGGGAAGAACTGATCTGCATCTCCCTCTCAAGCTGACCACAGGAAGATCCATTGTTCTCTCTGAGGCTCAATCAGTCAATAAACATTAATTAAGCAAAGCACCCACTACGTGCTAGGCGAGGTGGTAAGTACTAAAGATACACAAAGAGGCAAAGCCCAGCCCCTGTTTTCAAGGTCAGTCGAATGGGGGAAACAATATGGGAACGCTGTGGACAAACAAATACAGACAGCTTGAATTGGAGAGAATCCAAGGCAGGGAGATTAGGAAGGACTGGGAGAGGCTTCTCGGAGAAAGGGACAAGAGCTGAGATTTCAGTTTCCTCATCTACACAATGGTCATCAAAACACCTGACCTTCTCTGAGCTGTCGAGGCTTGCCTGAATGAACGTGTGTTTGTAAAAGGCTTTACCATTTGAAAGGACTGTGGTGAGGTTGGGTCCGAGCTGGGTGGGGAAGGGAAGGTCCTGGCAGGAGAAGTGCTGGTCAGGGCCCCCCCAGCCTTTGGGCAGTTCTCCTGGCATTAAGGGAGGGGCTCCCATACTCAAATGTCTTTGGTGAAGAGCCAAGCGTTCCAGACAGACAAGGTGTGTGTGGGGGGGGGGGCAGAGAACAGAGCAGAATCCTTGAACAGAGTGCTTTACCTTACCACACACTCTGAGAGACCATCCAGGCCTTGGAAGAACAGTTGGGATGCAACTAAGCCACCTCCTAGGCTCACGTGGCAGCTTTAGGATGGCCCTGGATGCAAGTACCTAGGAGCCCCCAAAGGGAGCAGAGCAGTTCTGCCCGAGAGTTGGGCCCCCACCTGCCAGAGGCACTGTGGTCCCTGCTCTGGACTGGAAGGACAGTAGGGCTGCCCCTCTGGCTCTGCTGGTGTCACTCTTGCTGTGTGACCTTGGGTAAGTCACTTGCAAACTCATGATAAGCAAGGGCTTATCAAGCAACCTTAGAAAAATAGATAGTCCAACTGATTCACTTTATAGATAAAGAAACTGAGGACCACAGAGGCTAAGTGATTCCTGGTCCTAGTCATAGCTAGCAGTAGCTGAGCCAGGATTCAGCCAATAAACATGTCTTAAGTGCCTTCTGTGTGCCAGGTCCTTGCTAATCTCAGAGGATACAAAAAAGGCAAAAGCTGGTGTCTGCCCTCAAAGAGCTTTCAGTCCAATCAGAGAAGATGAAAAGGAAAGGGCCCTGGAGGCAGGGTCAAGGGCAGCTGATGAGGTGAGTTCTCTCGGGCCCTCCGTAAATGGTGGAGGATCTAGGAAGCGCTCTGCCCTCTCCCATCAGAGGGAGGGATGGGGCGGGGGTGGGGCAGGGAGTACCCACTACAGGGCAGTTTCAGAGTTGATGTGACTTGCAGGAAGATGAGTTTCTAGAGATCCAGGAGAGATTCCGAGCCACGCTCTCAGAATCTGGCAGGACTCCACGAGTCTCTCCCTTCCATGTTTGGCCATCCATGTTGGCAGCTGTCGAGGGCCTTTCCATGAGAATGAGGATCAGAGAATAACCAGCCACCGATCCCGGCCGAGGCTCAGAGGGGTCCACTTGTGTGCCTCTGGCCACGTGGCCAGTGTTTGTAGGAGGCCTTGTTTGGAGTCAGGACTCCTAGGGGAGGAGCTTGGCTCTGCCTCTGATGACCTGTGAGACCTTAGGCCAGTCACTTGACTGAAGTCTAAGAGACTCCACTTCTTGTAAAATAAGGGAGTTAGATTAGATCACCTCTAAGATACTCTACAACTGTAGTCCTAGGATTCTATCTCAGGCCAAACTTGAACCCAGACCTCTTCCTTCTATATTCTTGTCCCTTCCATGCCCATCCCTATCACCACCACACTGAGAAGAGGGTAGCCCAGAAAGAGAAGAGTCTCAGAAATGCCATCAACAAGCTCTGTTCCCTGGTCAGGTGTGGCTGGCCCCTGGGCTCCCTCTGGCCCATGGGCTCCATCACTTGGCCTAGCAGCCCTTGCAACTGCAGGAAGACTGCCCCTTCTGGGGAGGAGGAAGGAGCCACCAGGCCAGGGAGCTGTCAGGCACCTTTCTTCCTGGCCCAACCCCTCCTTCTATCTCTATCTGGCTCCTCTCCAGGTGGCAAGGATGGAGTTCTGTCACATGCTGGGCTCACATGACAGGCTGGCAGCTTGAGAGTTGTGTCTCTCAGAGAAGATGAGGAGAACTACCCGCCCTCCTCATTGCACCCAAGGTGGGTGAGCCACCTCCATCTTTCTCCTGGGACCTTTCCCAGGTGCAGGGATGGGTGCCTTTCCAGAAGATGATGCCCGGGAGGAACTGACTAGGTAAGTAGAAGGAGCCTGAAAACCTGGGGGTGAGGGTCATCCAAGGAACCCCAGGCCAGGGTAGGTGGCATGGGGGCAGCAGGTGGCATAGGGGCAAGGCAGATAGCAGTGGGTACCAGCTGGGCATGAGGGTGGAGAGAAGATCTGCTTCTCTGCCCCACCCATTTGTAACCCAATATCATTCCTATCTATGTTCAGCAGCTGCATAGGGAAGTCTTCTTTCTTTGTTTTGACTTCCAACAAGTTGGGTGGGGAGGAACCTGAGGGGTAGGGTGCAGTTTCCTGGGAGGGCGCCAGAGCTCATCTCTGCCTTTCTGATCCCGGCAGCCCCAGGATCCTGTCCAGAAGCGCCACGCTCTGCAGATGAACGTGTCTGACAGGGACCAAGCCCTGGAACCTGACCTTCCACCACCGATTAACAGCTCCCTCTTTTCCCACTCGAAGGTTTGCTAAAAGCTTTCCTCATAACTCTGGAAGGCAGGTGGTGCAAGGGACATTAGCCCCATCTGACATAAGAAGAAACTGAGGCACAGAAATGGTAAGAGACTTCCCCAAAATCACACAGCTAAGAAATGCTAGGGCTCAATTCGACTAAACAAATTGCTTAAAGGCCTACTATGTGCTGGGCACCAGACTAGGTGCTGAGGACACAAAATCAAAAGATGAAGTCACCCCTGCCCTCAGGGACCTTACCATCCACTGGGGGGGAAGGGCATGCACATAGATAACTAATTCAAAAGGTACCTTCAAAGAGGAGAAAGTGTTAATAATTAGGGGATGAGAAAAGGTCCCCTCCACGGGCTGGTGCACCAGCTAGGTTTCAGATCCCGGTCCTGAGAGCCAAGGATGAGGAAGGAATCTAAGGAATACATTTCTGGCAGGGGAACCACACAGTCAAAGGTGGAAGTGGGATACGGGGAACAGTCAGCAAGCGTGTCTGACGATCAGGGAGTGGGTCAGGAGGAGTCATTAAATGAACCAAGAGAGTTAAGCTGGGACCACCCCCAGAGGGCTTTAACCAACCTCCTGACTTGCGTGTTTCTTCTGGGGCAACCAGAATTCACCTAAAATTTCTGAGTAAAGAAATGTTATTGTGGGCCAGGGATGTGGCGAGATCCCCTGGGCAGCAGCCAGGAGGCTGGATTGGGGAGGGGAGAGACTGCAGGCTGGGAGATCCGTGACAGAGCCATAGCAATGGTCCAGGTGAGGGGCACGGGGGCACGCGAGCAGACAGAGGGGCACTGGTGTGAGAGAAGGATCGGAGAATTTGTGACTGAGTGGATAAGGGGTTAGTGAGGAGACGAGGCTTAAGCCAGTCTGGGGCCTGGGCCACAAGAAGTTTAGAAGGGGGGAGGACTGGGGTGGGGGAATCAATTCCACTTTGGCCATGTTGAGTTGGAGATGCCCAGGGATGTGTGTTTGGAGATGGCTGATGGGTAGAGGATGATGTGGGTTTTATGGCTCTAGAGAGAAATCAGAAGTCATTTGCATAGGGAGGATAATGAGACTCCTGGGAGCTGATGAGGTCACTGAGAGAGGGCATGGGAGGAAAGGGAGAGGACCAGGACAGAGCTGTGGAACACCTGTCCTTAGAAGGTCCAAGACGGATGAAGAGCCAGCAACACAGCCTGAGGAGTGGTCAGGTCAGGCCGGCAGAAGGGAGCTGAGTGAGCAGGGCCTTGGAAGCCAAGAGAAGGAGACAGCCTAGGAGAAGGGTTGGTTTTGAACTCAGGTCCACTGGCTCCCAAGCCAGAACTAAATCCACTTCCCATAGCCCCCAGACAGACAGGATGTGATCTGGAGCTCAAGAGGGGGCAAACCTGGCACTCGGAGGCTTCCACCAGGTTTAGCAAGCACTTATTTAGCACCCACTGTGTGCAAGGCCACTGAGGATATGGGGATTTTCAGAGGACACTCTGGAGCCTCTGCTGACCTGCCATGCCAAGGGGCTTAGGGCTTTTCCCAGCCTGGATCCGCCATCCAGGAGCCAAGCTCTGGCTTAGCAAAACCTTCCCAGAGCCAGAAGTGAAAAGTGGAGCCCATGCCTGGCCCAAGGCAGCAGCCGCAGTGGGCTCCATCTCACCCGGGGCTTCCCCAGAGATGGCCTCATGGTGTAGGGCAGGAGGCCCTCCCCTGGGACCCCAAACAGGACCAGGGACCAGGGACATCTAAAGGCATGGCTTTTTAAAGGCAGCAGGGATAGCAGGATGGACTTGGGATCAGGACAGAAGATCGGGGTTCAAATCCTGCTTCAGAGACTTACCAGCTGTGTGGCCTTTTAAGGATCTGAGTCTCAGCTCCCTCATCTGCAAAATGGAGCTAATGGCAGAGATAGTATTCATAATCCTGAGGGCTTATTGTGGTGCTTTATAAATGTCAGTTGTTATTAAAGCCTTCCTTTTACAGGCAAGGAAACCAAGGCCCATACACGTAGGTAATTATAGTGGAAAGCGCTCTGGATTTGGGGGTCAGGGGACCCTAGGCAAATTCCTTTCCCTTCTTTGGTCCTAGTTTTCCCTCTGTAAAATGGGAAAATGGACCTTCCAGCTTTAGATGCCATGATGCTGTCACAGAGCTCAGGTCCTGAACCCTGGTCACTCACTGGAGCATCAGGCCTGACCTGGGAAAGACGGGGTCTGGGAATCGGCTGTCACTCCAGGGCTCCCTAGCTTTAATCTGTAGTCCGGGCAGGTGCCAAGTGCCTTGGGGAGACAAGGATGAACTTGAGCCAGGCCTGGCCTCCAGGGAGTTCAGTGTTTGTTTGTGGTTGGGGGATGGTGATAGGACAGGGCCCCAGGCAAAGCAGAGGAGTGAGACTAGAGCTGGGGTGCTAAGCCCCTCCCCCCCACCCTCTTGTGAGTGGCTGTGATTTCTGGACAGCAGTCAGGGCAGGCTTCTAAGGAGGAGGTGGCAGCCTGGGGTGTGGGTCAGGGCAGAGATGGGCTGGAAGGAGGGGGAAGGTGCAGCTCCTATCTCTTCTAGCCTACACTATCATCATAGCCTCCTGACTGATCTCCTGACCTCCAGCTTCAGTCAACCAGTCAAAATGATTAAGCACCTACTGTGTGCCAACCGCAAGAGGAGGGTCCCTCTGGGAGGTAGAATTTTAGCTGGGACTTGAAGGAAGCCCTGGAGATCCTGGCCTCCCTTCCTGCCAGGGCTCCCTACTGCCTCTAGGGGAAGACACCAACTCTAGACTCAGCATTGAAGGCCCTCCCCAGCCCATTTATAACCCACTTCTCCAAGTCAGTGAAGCTTGCTAGACAATGGTTGGACCAGCTTGCTTTGCAGTACTCCTCCCAACTTTGTCCCAACAAAATCGGATGGAGGGCCATCCCTGCCTCTACGTTTGCTCGGGCAGCGCCCCAGCTTGGGGAGTGGGGCCCCTCTTCGCCTCAGCCTCTGAGAACTCTCACCAGTCCTTCCTGAGGCTGTGTTGTGGTATTCTGTGTCCTCCATAGAGGAGCAGCTCCCTGAGGTCAGGAACCGTCAGCTTTGCCTCCCCAGGTGGGCAGCAAGGTGATGTGAACTGAAAGCCCTCCTCTGGGATGAGGCCTGATTGGGATGCCACAGGAGCCCAGGAACCCCGCGGGGTAGGCCTGGGATTGGGATGGAGGACACATTGAGCTTAGGGGGCTTAACTGGTTAATTTGGAAAGGCAGCTTGGAGCTGGATTGTGGAGGGCCTTGAATGCTGGAGCCAGCCTCGGGTTGTGTGGTCAGCCTGGAGCTGTTCAGGAAATCCACCCTGGGGGGCTTCAGGGATGTCTCCATTATTTTCCCTTGTCAGAGGTGGTCAGAGCCAGACAGGGAAAGGAGAGCCTGTGAACCTTCCCGACACAGCTGGCTCCCCAGTTCCTCGGCCTGTGGCCCCAGAGAACATCAGGTTTGCAGGGGGACCACCTGCCTGTATTTGCCACTGAGTCCCCTGGAAATGGGTTGTGGGGGAGAAACATGCCTGCTCTCTGTAGGAGGGCCCACAGGGGACCTGGCTGGGAGCTCCCCAAGGAGCTTACCTGTGATGTAAGAGAGCCCTGTCTGGCCCTGACCTGGGGTGTTACTGTGACCAGGGTAACAGCCTGGCACAAGGCCCGGGCTCTGATACCCAGGTTGCCAGGCCTGGGGGAGACAAGACAGATTGAAGCTGCTGCCTGGAACTGGACCCCAGCCAAGCACAGAACACTAACCCCAGACCAGGCTGGTGCTAAAAGATGACTCAGACACACAGAGTTCCTCCTTCAGCCATGGTCTCGGGGTGGGTAGGGGAGGTGCCTCAGGAACCAGATGGGTCTACAGCCCAGGTCACAGGCAGAAATCTTAGCCACGCCCAGGTCTAGGGTCACCCAGCCCAGAGTCTTCCTCACTGGCCTGGGGGGGGAGAGCCACGGCCCCGCCTCCCGGGGGCCGGGCTGACTACCAGCAGAATTTTACAAGCAGACCGTGAAGGTCTGTGGTGAGAGCTGGCCTCGAGAGGGACAGGGAGAGGGAAGATAAACTGGAGTCAACCAGGTCACCCCTTCAGGTATGGTACCCTCGGGACTGTCCCCGGCATACCCTTCATCCTGCAGCTGGGTGCTGTGACGAGGAGCAGGCAGGAAATGGGCTTCAGTCAGACCCAGAGGAGCCGGGGTGGGGCTCTACTCTCCGAGGAAGGAGTATGTGGGGGGGGGGGGAGTGGCCCAACTCAGTTCTGGCTGAGCAGGGAGGCAGACACTCTCACATCCCCATCCCCGGCGCCTGACTTTTCTCACGTGGTTTGTCCCCAACCCAATGGGGGGGGCGCGTAATGGAAGGGAAGTGAGAAAAGGAACTTGTATTCCATGTTCCACGCCCTCCCAGCCACCCCTGACACCCCTGCCTCCCCCCAAAAGATGAGAGCCCTGAGGAGGAGAGGAGGGAGGGAGGGAGCAGGAGGGCAGGATGGACTCAACCAGTTTCCCATGAAAAGCAAGGAAAATTGTGGGTGTGAAGAGGTCTAGGGGTTTTGGGGTGCTGGGACCCCAAGATTGAGGTACCGGGCCCTGCCTGAAAGAATTCAACTCAAATCTTCTTCAGCCAGAGGAAAAGTTTATTGGTGGTAAAACATATAGGCCGGGTGACGCCCGTAAAGACGAGCGGGCATGAGAGGTTCTCAGTCTTTTGAGCGTGAGATTCTCAGCATCTGAATCAGGGCCAAGGTGGATCTTAAATACTAAAGTAACTTTGGGTGGCCAGAGAAGGGGGTTGGGAAAAGGGTGTAGGTAACAATTCTAGTTGGGGAGGTCGGGTAGATTGAATAGACAATGGGAATAGATAATGGAGGAACAGGAAGGCAGAAGTTTGAAAGGCATCTGCACAAAATCAAGGTGGGGCTAGGACTTTCAAAAGGAGATAAAGGAAGGTCGGTCTGGGGCCTATAGACAAGAGCCAGATTCTATTCAGGGCAAGGGTTGAAGGTGCATCTGAATAAGATCTAAAGGTAAGCTAGGGCTTTCAAGGGAGATGAGGGTCTGGGGCCTGTGAGTCAGATTCCCTTTGGAGCAAAGGGTGAAGATCTTGG